AACATGGGATTGGTACAGACTCTGACCCCTTTCAGTCCTGTTCCAGGTGCTGGGCTTCAACATTTCATTAACACCACCGCCTGGGCATCCCTTTCAGTACTTAAAACACAGAGGACTTTCCCTCTCAGCATATTTCTCAGTGAGTTTCTAACTGTTCCCTTACTGTTCTCTTGACTGGCAAGTTAATTGACAGCATAATAATTTCTTTTTAGCTCCATTGGTCTCTGTTTATTCTTAATATCTATTATATTGGTGTTTTCAGCAAAACTGAAAGAGAAAGATTTCTACCCTAACGTCCTGTCATATCACACTATTCAAGGGGAAGGAAAAAAAAAAAAAAAGAGGATTTCTCTTTCTCTTTTCAGCCAAGGAATAGAAAGTTGAGACTTTATCCCAAATCACAGGTCAACTACAAAATCCAGTGTGTATTTGGCTTGTGTTATTAGCGTTCTTTATTTTTCCCATATAAGGGTATCCTTTATTTCCCCTGGTTATTAGACTAATATAGTCACATTGAAGGGCATTTGGAATCTTCAGAAATGTATGAGGAAGTACGTGAAAGTCAACTGCATTTCCCTAGTCAGAGATAACCACTCCTAATAGTTTGGTGAATTTCCTTCCTGGCTTCTAAAATATTTATGTAGATTTAAAAACAAAAACAACAACAACAACAACAAAAAAACACATACCAACTTTGAGCACCAGATCTCAATAGAGAATAGGGAAAACAGTATGGCTGTGTTGTAGGACTGAGAGGACATGGGGTATGAGCATGAACAGTGCATGGTGTCACCTCCAGCATGAATGTTGATGATTTTATTCTCTTCCAGCTGCTCTCACACTTGCCTACAGCACTGACAGCATTCCGGCTGAGGGGTTAGTGAGTGTGTGCCTCCTGTGTGCCAGACACAGTGCTAGGCAGGGCCATCTTTGGGGACAGGCAGGTGGGAAGGTGATCTGTGCTCCTAGGAGAGTTCTTAGCTAGGTTTCATGCTGTGCTGACATTTGAGTAAGGGGGCCCACGTTTTCACTCACAAATTATGTAGTTGGTCCTGCACTAAGTGGTGAGGATACTACTATGGAAAACTCCTGCTCTACAGGAGTTTATAGTCTAGTGGAGACAGATGGTTGAACAGGTCATTTTAAGTCAGTGTAATAACTGCCTTAGCTTCCAAAGAATTAAACACACAGGAGGAGGATTTAACCCTGTCATGTGTTAGTGAGGGTCTAAAATCAGTTCAATTGTTTTCCAACATTAGCCTTGGTGCAATTCTTCTGACTTTAACTACTTAAAGTTAACTTCAAACCTCACACCCTAAGGGCACACTTTTCCAGACTGCCAAGTCTGCCCAAGATTCAGACACCAGCAAGCTTGGGGATCCTTAGGGCACCCTCACTTCTGACATGTTGGCCACAAAATTTGGGGTTCCCACTACCCCTCAAGTTCAATAATTCACTAGAATGACTCAAGGAACTAAGGAAAGTGCTCTACTTATGATAACCACAGCTTTATTATAAAGGATATAAATTGGGATTAGCATAAAGAAGAGACACATGAGGTGAGGTCTGGGAGAGTACCCTAACAGAGCTTCCAAGGCTTCAAACATCCATCACCCTCTTGAGCATCAATGTCTTTTACTAACCAGGAATCATCACCCATGTTGTTGCAGGCTGAGTTCCGGAATAATGACTACAAAGTCAGCTGTAGCCTAGTGAGAAATTTAAGAAGAGGATAGTAACCTTGCAAGGTGGTGACACATGGGGCCAGAGGCAATGCCATGGGTACCTCCCCAAGCCTTACAACCTAGGGGTTTTTATAGTAGTTTTTAAGGTACGTGATTTCAAAAGACCTATGCAGGCAGGTATTCATAAAATCTTGACCTTTTTGCAAAAGTCAGGAAGTAGAACAAGTCTGTGATAAATTCATCAACTTCCTTCAGGCTAGGTGCATGCGCAGTCTCTTTCTGAGATAGAGTCTGTGTGTTCCAAAATAGATGCCTGACTTCTTTTGCTCAGGTGTATTCTGCTTTTTGCTCTTGGTTCGAGTCCTGGTTTGGTCTTGGATCAGATTTGAATAAATGGATGCTCTTCTAATTTTCCCAAATAAAATGGCTAAACATTGTCAGTTTATCCAAATACACAATTTATATGCTTAATGCTATATGCTAATACTCCTAAATAATCCCAAATTTTATTTTTAAAAAATATCTTGGGTATTGAAAAATTATCCTAAAATTTATCTTGAAGAATTATTATTAAATGTGGAAACTGGGGAGAATATAATTTTACAGATCATGTGGAGAAATGGAAATGATTGAATTCAGTCATATTTGAAAATAATATTTTCTCCTGAATGTCAATAATATATTCCAGGTTGATTAGGTAGGTAAACCTATTAATAGAAATAAAAGTTTAGAAGGAAAAGTAACTATTAACCGGTTTCTAAAGCACCTCTAAGAAGAAAGCACCATCAGAAATCACAAAGGAAGAAGATAGATTTATTGATAGGAAAAAAAAATATTTCATTAATAAACAGCAAAACAAAATTTTAAAACCAGCAAGAAAATAAGAAAAACTTAGAGAGGATTAATATCTTTGATAAATACAGAGACATTTTTAATGAGACTTACACCCAAATAGAAAGTGTGTGAACAGACAGTTCAAAGGAGAGGAAGCTCCATGGCTAAGAAACAGAAAAACGTCCTCACCAATAACTAAAAACAAACAAACAAACAAACAAACAAACAACGTTAGGCTAATGTGATAGGTATGTATCTGTGTATAATACATAATGGTGTAGATGTTTACAATTAACTTAAAAAGTATTGGACTATATGCCTCTTTTTTTTTTTTTTTTTTTTTTAACCAAACATCATTTATCTATGAGAGTGAATATATATCTAGTTTGCATTTCTGTTTCTTACTGCTACATAGTCTTTCTGCCACCATATATCAGGTTGTATTACTGTGGTGGCTTGCACATTGCTGTGATGCTGGAAGTTATATCACAGGTATTCCAAAGATCAGTAGGGTCACCCACGGTGGGCAGGTTTCAGCACAGCTTCCAGACTAAGATAGACTAGAAAAGCCTGATAATCTACTTCAGAAAATTAGCCAGTGAAAACCGTCTGGGTCACTACAAAACATGGTCTTATATGGTGTTGGAAGATGTTCCTAGGCTGGAAGGCAACAATGAACTCATGCATGCAGGTGATTATGCAGATAGCAAGGGACCAGGTGGTGTTTCGTTCTGTTGTACATGGAGCCGCTGAGTCAGATCCAACTCAGTCGCAACTTGACAACAGCAACAATATAGTATTTCAAAGCGTGCATCATATTATTCTTATCTACTTTCTTTAAGGGGAGCTATGGTAGCATAGTGCCTGAGGCACTTGACTGCTAACCAGAAGACTGGTGGCTCAAACCCACCAGCCACTCCTCGGAAGGAAGATGGCGCAATCTACTTCCGTAGTGATACTGCCTCAGAAACCCAAGGAGGGGTCGCTATGAGTCGGCGCTGACTCAATGGCACATAACAATAACAACAACTCTCTTTAAGAGGACACCTGAGTGGTTTCTAGCCCCTTGCTTCCACAATAAGATTGCAGTCATCATCCTAGTCCATGTGCCTCCATGGGTTTGTCCAGTGATATCACTGGGAGATATACCCCAGGGGTAAGCCTTCCAGAGAGAGGACAGGTGCCAGCCCAGATCGTATTCTGTGTTGGTCATATTGGCTCTCACTCCCCTGAGGGATTATCTTTCCCTGCTTCCTGGCTGATCCTGGGTAGTATCCAACTTTCTAATTTCCACCAATCACATGGTTATAGAGCAGTATCTCATGGAGTTTCACATCTGTTTCTCTTGACTATTTGTTTACTGTCATATTCTGTTGATTTACAAGGGTTCTTTATACATCCTATCATTAAGTCCTTGTTGATTTTACAAATTATAAATATTTTCTTTCAGTCTGGTTATGGTGTTCTTCACAGAATGAATCTGATACACTTAAATTGAGTAATTTTTTTTATTTTATACAACTTGTTTACATATATCTTTCCTTTTTGTTTATCACCCACACTCTTTTCAACCCAAAAACAGTTACAAAGTTCATCTATGATGAAATCATTTCTTACCACTCTTTAAGCAGCCCAGAAATGTGTAAGATATATCTCAACCCTCAATGAGCTTATGGCCTAGCTGGAGGACTAGGTAAGAACACAGATGATTAGTAATAAGCAACTACCAGAAGAGAGTCCTCAGTGTGCTATCAGAGTCCAAGGATGCATCTTTGGTTATGGAGAAAAGGAAACATTTCTCAAAGAAGATGAACTTTGAAATGCTCTTTGAGGGTTGAATGGACTTTTACTGTTGGAATTGGAGGTAGGGTGGAGAAATACAATGACATGAAAAAGATGTAATACTATAGGGTATTAAAGAGCTCAAGCTGGTTGTCATATAGGTACAGACATTAAAGCTAGGTGTCAAAGGACAAGACTTCTGGTCCCAGTGCTTAATGCAGTGTTTGGGACATATACCTGATCATCAGTAGATGCTGACAAATGACAAAATAAAAATGTGCATTAAAATAACTTTTTTAAAACTCCAAGGACAATTATACAATAGTAATGTCTAAGAGTATTTATTACTATAGAAACGCTTAAGGCAAGTATGTGGCAAGATACAAGGTACCAGGATGAGTACAGAGTAAATAGAGGGGATGGAGAACAAGTTTGGGGCCACACAGGAGTTCTGCAAGCATCCTATGCAATCTGGCTGTACCTTAAATACATCAGAGAGTCATTAAGGCTTATTGTCCCTGCTCTTAAATGAGTCAGAGAAGGGCATGGTTAATGTGTGCAGAACAGAGCAGGGGCACAAAGTAATGGCGCTTGCAGATCCTCTGTACTGGTGAGGTGCTTGCCCTCATCTCTACCCTGGGCTTTAAAGTGGGGCTGAGGGACACAGAAAGACATCCTCACATGCTTGGTAAGTGCTCCCTATGGAGACAAAAACCTGCCACAGAACAGGATGCTGTTCGCTGTGTTGTGCCTAATGAAGAAAAGGAAGGGGTGGTCTGCACAGAACCGGGGCCCATTCTCCATGCAGCACTCCACAACCACCATGGCTGAGGCAGCACTGGCCTCTGTGCCCTCCTCGTTGACCTCCAAAAAGGACTTGTGCACAAACTTGGAAAGGGACAGATCTGTCTTAGTCGACATGGCAGAAAAGTCAGCCTTGCCCTGTTGAAAGGCATCAACTACCCCCAAACTTCGAAGTACCGATTCCATGTCATAATCTTCTTCCAGCGTAAATCTTGGAAGGAGGACTTCAACTTCAGTGCTGCTCATACAGTCTGGCTTCGTCCAGGCTACAAATTTCTCAAAAGTGAGTCTCTTTTCCACCTACAAGACCAGGAAAATGCTTTAAGAGTCATACTTCTGGGCACAGCTACAAGTGCACAGCACACATGTGCCTTCTCTCCTCTTGCAGATGGTGCTGATTGCTCACACAGGACTAGGGGCACCTCTCTGCCAGGAAAACTGTGATTAGGAACTTGTGCTGCACCTCAAGTGCTTCACATACATGACTCTGTGCCAAGTAGGGGAGACACCAAGCGGCCAGGCACATAAGTTCTATGAGAGATCTTTTATCCTGACACATGTCAATACACAGATGACTATGCTTTTTTTAAAAAACAAAACAAAACATAATGCTTATTTTCAACATTGTGAAAACAATCCAGTTCTGGTGAGAAAAGCGATTAGAAAAGAAAAGGCTCTAAGAATGGCTCAAATCAGAAGGGAAATCTGAGCAGGGGGAGAATTAGGACTGGTTTCTGGAGAAGTGATGTCACATTTAGGGAGCTGTGCAGAGTGAGAACAAAGGGGCTGGGGCTTCAGTTACACCCATGCCTTAATACATAAGACATCACTGCCTTCCATCCAGTTCCAGAGCCTAGAATTCAGTAGGTGCACAGTCTGTCCTGTCACCCTTGTGACCCATGCTGAAACAAAAATGGTGGTCTTATATGGCAGGCTGTTCTGGCATCACCCCCAGCACTGTGCTCCTCCTGTCCCATATTGGGTCAAATATAGGTAAGACAAGGTCATTCAATATTTCAGGTTTTGAACAGCAACAAATATTCTTAAGTTTCAAATCAATAATGCTAATAACAAAGATTATGATGATAATAATAATGGATAATGTTTATATCGGGCCAACTATGTGTTAGAAAATGTGCTAAGCTGGCTACCTTGATAATCATAACCCTATCATGTAGACATCAACACCCCCATTTTAGAGATGAGCAAACAGAGCCTGAGACAGTTAAAATAATTTGGCAGGATCACACAGATGATAATGGGAAAAGTAGGTCTTGGGTAAGTGTGAGTCCAAAGCTCATGTGTCTGAGCACTGTGCTTCACAGCTGAGTCTACCCACATAACCGTGAAATGTAATTGCCAAAGACAGAATGTGCTCAAGTTCTAGCCTAGTAAGAAAGGACACAAAGGGCTTCATAGGATTTTTCCTGCAGAAATTCAGAAAGGGAAGTTCCAACTATTCAGTCTCACCGTGCTGAGATCCACGTTGTCATCGGGAAGCAAAATAATCATGCTCAGATCTTCCCCTGCATAGGGCAGCTCCAGGATCTGGGCCTGCACTTCTTTTATGTAAGTAATTTTAAACATAGCTTCCTGAAACATCATCTGCACTGGTTTTTGCTTCTTCTGATGGAAATGAGCAGATGAATATGTAATTAAAAACACATTATCAAAAGAGGTAATATCAATTCCTGAAAGAGTTGCAGTTGACGCATGTTAATCATCATCCACGATAAAAACAACACTCATCCTCTAATTGTTGTTGTTATTGTTGTTGTTGTTGTTATGTGCCATCGAGTCAAACCCGACTCATAGCGACCCCTCCTTGGGTTTCCAAGGCAGTATCACTACGGAAGTAGGATTGCCCACCTTCCTTCCGAGGAGTGGCTGGTGGGTTTGAACCGCCAGCCGTCTGGTTAGCAGGCAAGTGTCTTAGCCACTATGCTACCAATCAGCCCCAACTCATGGTGAACCATGCACAATGGGATTGGACCACTGGAATCCACAGGGTTTTAATTGACTGATTTTCAGAAGTAGACCTCTAGGCCTTTCTTTGTAGTCTGTAAGTGCTGCAGGAACCTGACAGTTCCAAGGACACAGGTGATAGCTGCACATGAAGTGCATTGGCCAGGAAATGAACCAGGTGGGCTCTCCTGTACGGCAAGCTGGAATTCTACCACTGAACCACTACTGCTTCCTCTATGCTCTAATTAACACATAAATGCGAGCCCATTCCTTCCTGTCATCATTAAAAGGCATTGGTTACAAACAGACAAACCATGAGCCTGGGCAAGATGTTTTAGTCAGCAAAACAAAATTTGACTCTGTGCATTCTTCAGAGGAAGAGGTCAGATTTTTCTCATTTAAAACATACCCAGAAAATATATCTAAGGAAATAATATAATCAAACAGAATTAATTTTAAAAAATTTTCTACTTAACCAGAAAAAATTTTTCATAATCATCATGACTGATGAAGGTGGTATGAAACTGATAGTTTTATACCATGCAAAGTGGGTGTAAATGAATAACCCTTCTCTGGAAACTGCCTGGAAGTAAGCGTAAAAAGCCATATATATTTTCATGTATTTTAATCTAGTTATTGCAATTCTGATATTCTAATCCAAAGAAATAATAGAAAAACACAGAAGAGGTATTTGAATGCAGAAGGTAATTGAAGCATTGCATTTATTAAATTAATTTCTAAAAATTTATATAGAACATCTATTATAAAAATAAAAATATTTTCTAAAATCAATGCTAGGAAAGTTCTGCTCCCTATCTCCTTTTGTAACTAGGAGGCTAACTATTTAAATGTATACATTTCATATCTATTTATATAAATATGAAAATATTTATATACTTTCAGGGCCTGGGAGTTTTGGCAAACAACTTTAATGCATGCTTCAAGTGAAGTGATACTTCACTGTCAAAACCAAAGTCTTTGTCATTCAGTTTTAATATCAGCTTTAAATACTGAATTAATAGTGATAAAGTAATTAACAAGTTAAATGTATACTTAATATAATTTTTAAATACTTGATTATAGAAATGTTTTCACACTCTCTCCCCCTTCCCTCTCTCCCCCAACCCTACCATAAACACATATATCACACTGCCATTAACACCTGTTTTTGCTTTCTCTCTAAGCAATGTGGGTTTAAGGGAAAATCTTAAGTTTCCAGAACTAGGTGCAACAATGAATGTATGAGAAATTATAGGAGGCAAAGAGGAGTAATCAAGAAATGAGAAAAACTAGAGGTAGCAAATACTTTTTAATTCCTTCAGTTTTTTCTGCTTTGAAAATTCATTCAGATATATCTAAAGAAAAAAAAATTTAGCCAGTCTTTTATGCATTCACAAAGTTAATTTTTTCCATTCAATTTCTTCATCAAACTAGCAAGATTTTGAAAGCTTCTGCCTACCTTGTTTATTTTAAAAGGCATTTTCCTTGTATATGTTTTATTAAACTCTTCATTCCACCTTCCTTTGAAGTAGATGGCATTGGCAAGAACCAGTCTGGTTTGTGAATCAATTGAGTTATCTGGCAATAATTCTTGAATTTTACCTTTCAAGAAAAGTAAGGTAACATTTAGTTGATTTTTAAAAAACATAATAAATAAACTATGATAAGACATTTTGGCAGATTCTTGATTATTAACCAAAAGCCAAACGTTCTTTTATCAGATACTGAATACAGACATTAAAAAAAAAAAAAATACAAGTGAGGAATCTCCACAAAATTGATGATAAAGACTTTAAATGATTTGAACAGAGCAGGTTAGTAGAAAGCAGAAACGTTATACTGGGATGGAGAACAAGATAAGCAGAAATGAGAGGTAGACTGGAGGGGTCTTAGTTATCTCCCGTGTTTAAAAAGTATTTGACCCAGTGCTCCAAGATTACATCCAATCTAACAGGCAGGATCACTTGTGGACACGTCAGAGGCAGGCTAAATAAATAGCATACCAGGAAACTAGCTAGAAATGGGCCGGATAGGCACAAGAGGATCTTCTGGAAGTCTCTGGGAGAGATATTATTACTATGTGATCTTCTAAACAAACCACTAGGCATCCCTGGGAAAAGGTAATGTGGAACAAATCAAAGACATTCCCTTCTTCCCCTGGATATTAAGTTGTAGCTTTTCTATAAACTAAGAGCACCCCTGAAAATTTACTGCCTCATGATGCCATGAGTGATAAATATTCTACTTCCTCTTGCAGGAAGATATGAGGAATAATTGCAAAATCTTTGAGCAAAGATAACACTTTGTTCTTCACTGTCTCATTTATTAACAGAAATTGGCATGTTTCTCGTGGTACAGTTGTTGGTGCAGGGGAGCCTGCATAGTTCAAACACCAGAACATCACTGATATTGGGGTCAAGGTCAGAGTATGTTATTTTCTGAAATACAAATGAATCAGACCAAGCCCAAATGGAGGGTATTTTTAGCCCTGGGAGAACGTCTGCAGGTAGCCTATAAACAAACCAAAAGAAAAAAAAAACTACTGCAGTCAAGTCAATGCCGACTCATAGTGCCTTCCTGTGTTTCACAGCAGAACTGCACATTATGGAGTTTTTAAGGTTGTTACCTTTAGAAAGCAGATCACCAAGGCAACTTTGGATGGGTTCAAACCACCAACCTTTCAGTTAGTAGTTGAGTGCTTAACTGTACCAACCAGGGACTACAGTTGGTGTATAAGTAGAGGCTTCTCAAGCCTAATTAAGGGAACTTAAATAGAAGACATGAGAGACAGGTGGTAGAATAAGTAATATAACGTGTAGAGGAAAGGGGACGTGGACGCCAGTCCACACAGAATCTAGAAAGACAAGGCCCAAAGTGCACAACTCCAAGATGATGGCGTAATCTGACAGCATGAGCACTATAAACCAAGTAAAAGGATTTTTCAGTGGAAGTTGTTAAACTAAAATCTAGTCTATGAGTAGGTTTCTTTTGAAGTTTGCATCAGTCACTCTGGTCCTGGGAAAATGGACAAAATTAAGTCCCTGTTGCTGAAAACTTAAAGTTGCAACATTCCATGAGGCCCAGCCAGTCAACGTCATCCTGAACATCATAAATACTAGTGAAATTAGAGGATAAGGAGGAGGAGAAGTAGGGAATAAAGCGTAATTCTGACCTTCAGTCTTTTTTGAGACCCAAGCGTTTATATGTTTCCTGGATCTCTCTGCAGCTTTGGCAAAGGAGAGCTGTTCCAGCTCAGCGTGGTAGAACCGAAAGCAGGACCCCTTAAAAGTCTTTAGAGAAAAAAAGTGTTCAGTGAGGTTGCGCTGCTAAATAAAATGTTAGCAAGCTTTCCAAAATCCTGTGTATTCTTTATTTTTTACTAAAAAGAACCTACATATCTCTTAAAAGTGATCATATCTTAGTCTACTAGATATTATCATATCAACATTTATAGAAATGCTATGTACTAAACCATGAATAACCAGAGAAAAATAAGTGAATTTTAGAAGAAGTCAAATTTTAAATAATCCGTGGTATAACTATAGAACTGTGATTAATTTTTTTTTTTTTTTTTTTTTTACCATAAGTTTCTCAAGTTCTCTAGGATCTTTCTCCTGGATTCTACACCACCAGGTATTTGAATACAACTTTTGTTTTTTCATTGATTCAACTTACTGAAAGGATTTCATAACTCTCTTCTCCAAAGAGCCTGTTGGCTGTTCTAAGCAAATACTGAGTGCCAGGTTTGTTAACTTCAGTAAGAAGTGACTGGAAACCTTGGTGAATATCTTTCTTCATATTTAAAGAAAGAGCCTGTTGAGAAAAATAATTCAAAATTATTAGTATTGCTGTTTGTCCTCAAAGAAAATGCAAAAAAAAAAAATTTCTTACACTCCATAAAATATTTCTTTAAAGGGAATTCATTTTTTATTTTAAATGAATACTTAAAACATACTAAAGCAGCACACCATGGCAGAGAGAGAAAGAGAGAGAAAGCAGAAAGCAAGTAAGTAAAAGATTTGGCCGTTCTGCCTGATTAGACCTCTCATTTAAAGACGAGTAACAGGAAAAAATGAGTTATTGGTGGTTTAGTGGTAGAATTCTCACCTTCCACGTGGGAGACTTTGGTTGTTTTTGGCCAATGCACCTTACATGTAGCCACCACACATATGTCAGTGGAGGCTTGAGTGTGGCTATGTGATGCTAAACAGGTTTCAGCAAAGCTAGACTAATACAGATGAGAAAGAAAGGCCTGGCCAGGATCTACTTCCAAAAATCAGCTAATGAAAATCCTGTGGATCACAATGGTCTATTCTGGGCCACATGGGATCTCCATGAGTTGGGGGCCAACTGAATGACAAGTAATGACAACAAAAATAGGAACAAATGAAAAGGGTGAGAGGAATTCAGAGATCGGCTATTATAAAATCCTGCATCCCAAACCTAAAACATAACATAAAAATGTGCCCTAAATAATCAGAGGAAAACTTACCTCTAAAATTTACCAAAAGGAAAAGAAAAAACAAAACAAAACATAGTTAAAGGCATTAAAGATGCAAAAAGAAATGAGCACTTGTAGTGGAAATGTTTAAGAGATTTCACCTTCTGTTTCTGTCAGAGTAAGCAGACACAAAGACATAAGCATATAAAATGAGCAATGTGATTAATATGACTAAACCATATTAAAAAAAAAAAAAAAACCCCTCACTGCCGTTGAGTTGGATCTGACTCATAGAGACCCCTCCTTGGGTTTCCAAGGCAGTATCACTACAGAAGTAGACTGCCCCATCTTTCTACCCAGGAGTGGCTCGTAGTTATCAAAACTATATACCAGACAAAAAATATATAATTTTAAAAGATTAATATTTCTAAAAATACATCATACATTACGCTATAAGAAAAGTCTCAATAAATCCTGAAATACAGATATTATACAGGTTGTATTCTTTAACTTCAGTACAGTAAAGTAGAAATCAGTAACATTATAAATAAAATATTAAGAATGTGGAAATGACCCTACTAAATAACTACTGAAGACACTTTTCTAAAGAAAGAGCTCTTCTGAGTAAATATTTCTTCTAAATAATTATTAAAAATACTCTTTTAAATAACTATATAACAGACTATTTAGAAAATAATCAATATAGGAACAATATATATCCAAACAAAGAGTTTATCCAGGGATATAAACAAAAACACAGCATTAACTTTTTAAATAATACTAAGAAATAATTAAATGAGAAAAACTTTGAACACATGATGTTACAAAAGGCAAAGAAAAAAACTTGAGACCCTAGAAGAAAATATAAAATGGGAAATGAATCCCAGAGCTGGTCTTTTGGAAGAAAACACATACACACAGCAAAAGCAGACAAACAGCTGGCAAATATAAAAAGATAAGAAAAAGCACCAAAAAAAGAGTACAACTGAAAAAAAGAAAAGAGATTACAAAAATAGATATAGTGGACATGTTAAAAATAATATAAAACTATGAATGGAGCTCTGGTAGCATTGTGCCTAAAGCACCTGACTGCTAACCAGAAGACTGGTGGTTCAAACCTACCAACCACTCCTCGGAAGGAAGATGGGGCAATCTACTTCTGTAGTGATATTGTCTTGGAAATCCAAGGAGGGGTTGCTATGCGTCAGGTCTGACTCGACAGCGCATAACAACAACAACATGAATGATTATTTTCTGCAAAATATAGATTATGACTCGACAAATTAAAGTCAATTTGAACGTACCAGTAACAATGAAAGAAAGGAAGGTAATAGACAAGTACCTCTAAAAAGGCTTAGGTGATTTGATGAATTTTTTTATTATTTAAGAAATTTGTACTTTTCATACAATACCCACTGTTCTATAGCACAGAAAAAGATAGAAAGCTACTGTGGTAGTTAAGTTGTATGTCAGCTTAGCTGGATCTGGTTTTGAGTGGCTAGGCAGTTGGATGTAGTTTATTCCCCATGATGATGTTGCTAATCAACTCCATGGTAGAATTTACTGGAGCAGCTGAATAACTGCCTTAGGGATGTGGTCTGCTTGCAGTATATAAGAAGCTTTGAAGAAGGTCTCCAGCTTTTTGGTACACTTGAACCCTGCATGTAGTCAAGTCTTCATTCAGCAGCATGCCATGTACCTGCTGATCTTGGGACTGTCTCTGGACTTGAGCTAGTGGTCTCTCATGTTATTCGGTAATTTTGGGACTGTGCCATTTTATTTGCCAACCTTGGGTTTGTCAGCCCCAGAAGCCAGCAACTGCCAGAGTAAAGAGACACCTCCAGCTCCAGTAGGCCAATAGCAAGAGGCAGAGCTGAAGCCCAAGTTTGAGGGGCCTTCACCAAGTCCCTAGAGCCTGGCACTTTGAATTCGGACTTCAAGCTTCCTAAACTGTAAGAGAATAAATCCCTGTTTGTTAAAGCCATCGACCCATTTGTGGTATCTTCTGTTAGAGTGGCACTGTTGTGGTTGTTGTTATGTGCCGTCGAGTCAGACCTGACTCATAGCAACCCTTTCTTGGGTTGCTGGGGCAGTATGACTATGGAAGTAGATTGCCCAACCTTCCTTCCGAGGAGTGGCTGGTGGGTTTGATCCGCCAGGCTTCTGGTTAGCAGTCAAGTGCCTTAGGCACTATGCTATCAGAGCTCCTAAAGGACAGAACAGCTACTAAATTCATTTTATAAAGCTCGTCTATGATTGATAAGAAAACCTGTCAAAAATAAAAAAGAAAAGCTAACACCAGTTAAGTCACACCATTTGTTGTGAAGGGCTAAGATCTACTGAGCACTTGCTACATGAAAAGCTTTACATGGATTTTCTCACTGAATCTCACTCATACTAAGTGAAAGAGGGTTTATAAAAGTAAAGACACAGTATGATCACCAAAGTATAAAATTTAAAACAAAAATGGGGGAAAGGATTAGAAGAAAATACTTCCATATTATCAAGAGTCTCTAGGATGTGGGTTCTTAGGAATTTTTTTCCCTTCCTCCTACTTTTAAGATTTTATGATGGGATTTTACCACTTACATAATAAAGGAAAAACAATTTTAAAAAGTTTTTCTGCTGATATTACAGCTTCACCTCATGTTATGAGTAGCGGTATGTAGCTAGCTTATTGAGTGTCCTGTGAGTTGAAAACAGAGGGCATAAAGGACTCTCGATATCATACCTTATAGAGTGACCAGACAATTTTGGTGCTCTCAAAAAAATGGCCCCCTATAAGGGTTTACTGGCCACCTTAAAACATTAAAAAAATTGATAAAAATCCAAGTACAAATAACTCTCCTCTCTACATGAACCTCAACTCCTTCATAAAATGAATTGGAAAATGATTAAAATGAGTAATCACTATTAAACCACACCATTATTGTTCTGAAGAGCTGAGATATATAGAGCATTTGCTACGTGAAAAGCTTTACAAGGATTTTCTCCCTGAACCTCACATTAAATGACAAAATGTTTATAAAAGTAAAGACACAGTATGATAATCAAAGTCTAAATTCAAAGAGTTCTCACTGAAACAAATTCAAAGAGTCACACTGAAACAAAAAGCAACCATAGTGACTCACACTCCCATGTATGCAGGTCAGCTTGAGTTCAGCAATGACACAGCAATAGATTTTGCCCACTCTGTAAGCCCCTTGGGGACAGGGATTGATCTTAATCATCTCCAGGTTAAATGTTTGCTAAACTGAGCTAACTAGTGCCTGCACACATCTGTATATGCAATTGTAGTACATGTCTGTTTATGTAATCGTGCATATACATGTCTGTACATGGAATCGTAGCACATGTCCTTTCATCCTAGTTTGCATATTTCTGCTATATTATTACTTACTGAGCTGGAAAGGCAAGATCCTAGATAAACTACTTGAAATAGGTATTAATTTACCCCTCCATGGCTTAGTGCCTAAGGCATTTGACTGCTAACCAGAAGGCTGGCAGTTCAAATCCACCAGCCACTCCTTGAAAAGAAGACTGGGCAATCTACTTCTGTACAGATACTGCCTCAGAAACCCAAGGAGGGGTCACTATAAGTAGGATTCAACTTGATGGCAGTAAGTTTGGCTTTTTGGTTATCAAGGCATAATAAGTACAGCTACAAAGTCTTTTGCTCCAAAAAAGAGAGAGATCTGTGTGGCTTAAGTTTAAAATAATTTTAGTATCATTTTCTAAACAAAGATAAAGTCCTAGTTCAAAATTTTTATAGTATTCTCCTCAATTTTGAGGAAATCTTCCCAGGAAAATGTAATTAAGGAAGCTCTTTGCCCACCCTTCCTTACCGTCTTCCCCATTCTAAAATGAGCACCTGCATTTGCACACACTGGCTCCACCCCCTCATTGGGACTTCTGGAGAGTGAGGTACAGAACTGGATGATATGACAGAAAACCAGCAAAGCCAGCCCTTCTCCTGTGTCACAGCCACTCATACCTGGGCCATCTGGGCTGCAGTGTTTCCTTTTGCTCCCAAGAGGACCATGGCAAGGGCAGAGGAGATGCTCAGAGGAGAATAAAACACATTGTGTGAAGGGTTTTCTTGACACAGTATCTTTAAAAGACTGATGGCAAAGGTGCCATTTGCTTCAGTGAGTGCATCCATGGTGCAGTTCTGCAACGATAGTAGAAAGAGAAATGCTACTTCATACATCCCTCAATGTCTATTGACTTCATACATGACAATTTTGAAATCATACTCTTTTATTTCTTTTTGCATCTTTAGTTCATAAATATTTATATTGGAGGAAAATTCATTTAGTGTCACTCTCCATTCAAAAAACTAAATCCAAATTTCAATATAATTAGGTAAGTGTGGCAGTGGCAACAGAACAAATGAGCTTGAGAGCCTTTAGACAATTAACAGAACTGGCCTGAGTACACACATGTACACTCACACAATCATACACTTCTCATACACATTCCCACACACATACTCTTACACACATACACTCTTATACACACACATACACATAGCACACTGAGAGGAAAGCTGCAGGAAACAGTGAACTCTAAGCCTTTCCCATAAAGGACCAACTCCTCCCACCTCATGAGGGTAGTGTTAGAAAAGGAGAAAAGGTGGAAAGGGAGACCAGAGTGATTGACTCCTTAGTTGTTGTGATAGTTAAGGTTGTGTGGCGACTTGGCTGGACCATGAGTGGTTTAAGTAGTTGTGGTGTGGTTGTTCCCATGATGAGATATGATATATATGGCTTTGTGCAGCCAATCACTTGAAAGGGAGTTTCCTTCAGGGTGCAACCTGCTCCCAATACATATATATGGATGTACTGGGAGAATACGAGGATCTGGATCTGGATCCTGTCACGCTGGCTACAACTGTCCTGTGAGCCAACAATTCACCATTTTGCCCACTGATCTTGGATTCATCATCTGCCCAAGTCACCAGCCTGCCAAACTTGAGCTCATCAGCCCCTGCAGCTGCATGAGTCGGGAAAAGCCTCCTGCTTGACGTTTCATCCAGGAGGAAACTTGGATTATTATATATTATTACATATGTGTGTGTGTGTGTGTGTGTGTGTGTTTATGTATATAAAAGCTTTACTGGTTTTGCTTCTCTAGAGAACTGAGCCTAAGACAGTTGTCTAGCCTGGATTTGGAAACACTGTATTCACTCCTGGCATCACTGTATGAAGAGTGCTTGTTAGATTTTCGGTTGTATACCAGTCCATGGCCTCCCCATCTATCAGCTGATTCTCAAAAGGGCAGCTGCCATAATGACAGGCAGAGATGCTAAAGGGCCTCAGTGACAGACTAAAAGCAGGCCCTCAGCTGGCCTCAGAGGCAGACTGATCAGCATCAATCTACCTCTGAGGCCAGTTGAAGAAGAACCATCTGCTTTTCTGTGAGCAGAGCTTCTCTCTCAAATGTGCAGTATGCCTAGCCCACAGCTCAGTAAGCATCCCTCTTCCTGATTTCCCATTGTCCTAAAAGAGGTCCCCACATCACTATCCTCTAGATGTCATTGACCTTGGAACACTGGAAGAGAGACTGAGGCAAATGTGTGGTGTTTTTGTTTTGTTCTTCAATTTTTTTTTTTTTTCCCTGCAAACTCAGAAACATAGATTTGAGAGCTTGAGCTTATTAGTCCCAACAAACACCACAAGACTAGATTGTGCAGGGGTGGGAGCAAACTGATTCATGTAAAGCCAGAATGTGAAGGGGAAAAGGAACAGACAAGTGTCCAAAGAAGGGCAGTCAGAGATGAAGCAGAACCAGTGAGACCAGGGAAGGCTATCTGTGAAGCCAAGAAAGGTGGCAGAGTATAAGATGCTAAGGGGCTGCTGGCCACAGCTAAGACATGTCTGCAGTCCATCTTCCTCCATTTCCTTGGGACCATTGCTCAACCATCAGCTCACTTCAGATCCCCAGGAGGCCTCTCAACTTCCATCTCTCCCTCACCACCACCACCACTGCCGCCCAACACCAGTCACCAGGATTTGTGTTCCACCCTAAATTTCTCTGGAATCTATCTGCTTTTCTTGATCTTCCACTCAATCTAGACCACCATCTCCCTCTTCTCCGAAGCTTTCCACACTGTCTTCAGCTGGGGCTTAGAAATCCAAGTCTGGTTCTGTGATCCTGCCTGCACATATTCCCAAAGCTGTTAGGATATGTCTCAAACTCCACATTTGTGTCAAAGACTCATGAGGCTGTCTTCCTTCTGGTTCTCTTCTTGCTCCAGCCTTGCTCCTTCTTACAACCTCTAAGTCTAGGCATCTGGAACTCCCTTTAGTCCCCCAATGCATTTCTTAGCCACTGCAAACACTACCCAATTTAGACCTTACTCCAGCCCCTTCATCTGGCTGATTCTACTCTTCCCAGTCCCTACTTAAAGGAGGCTGCCAGCACCCCTACCTAGAAAGAGTCTCCCTCCACTCCTTCTACCCCACAATCCTCAGCCTAATTCATCCATCTTTATCACAATTCCTTATTTGTCTTCCCAACCACTGTGTCTAAAGGCATGGCATAAAACTCAGAAAAAGCAAGGGCTGGATAAATGTGCGTTGGATTCTTAGAAGAATTAGGATGGTCGAGAAGTGCTTAGAGACTAGTGATTTTATCAGGACAGTTTCAGAGAAGAGGCAGGTCAGAGATCATTATGCAGATCACTGAAGAGAGAAGGACAGGAGGTGGGTGGCAGTTGGGCAGGTGGTGGGAACAGGCACAAGATGAGGGCTGAAGCTCGGGAAAGGGGCACAGAGCAAGGAAGAGCCAGGCGGAGAAAAGATGATGGAAGGAGCAGCATCTGTGGCTTACTATGGAACAGAGAGCATAGGCCCTGGGACCAACCAACGTTAAAACCCAGCTCAACCATTTATAGGCTGCATCATGAGTGAGTTCCTATTTCTGTAGTTAGAGGCTAATCTAAGGTATGGCAGGTATGCCAAGTGCCCTGGGTACCACTTGAAGGGGATGGGAGCACCACTGAGCAGTTTCTATTAACCATGGCAGTTTCTACTGCCAGCTGTGAGAGAGAATTCAGCAAGTTAAAACTAGGACTTTGGTATTTGAGAGCTATCATGGGTCAAGGCTAAAGGATTCACTAGTACAAACCTACCAGCCATTCTACAGGAGGAAGATAAGGCAGTCTGCTTCTCTGAAGATTTACATCCTGAGAAACCCTATGGGAGCAGTTTTACTCTGTCCTAAGGGTCACTATGAGTCAGAATCTGACGGCAGTGGGGTTTATGGGTCAAAGCAGACTGTGTGACCTTTTCCTCTCCTGGAAGCACTTTTCTGAGCACAGCTTTTTCTGAGTTACCTTGTTGGGAAGGGGTGGGAGACAGTAGTTCCTCGAGCAGAAAAACTTATTTCTTGCTCTTTAGCCTGGGTCTGTGTGTGTGCATTAATTTTAGTTAATGAGCTGAAGAGATTTGGAAAAGCAGCCCCAAGGAGGCCAGCCCAACTACATTTTGCTTCTCACTCCCCACCCCTCTAGAGGCTTCGGTAATTCTTTCTACTCTCCCCTTCAGAACTTCTTACGGCCTGAACTTCTGGGCTGCCTCACAGCCCACCTGGCGATTCCCCTTCCTCTCTGCACTCCACTCCACTCACTATGTCTAATACTGAAACATTCTGCTCTTTCAGTGGCCAGGGTGACTACTGGGTGGTCCTGACCAAGTGTGAGCATGGGTGCTGGTGCCCACAGACACAGGCCATATCCTCAGTGTGCCAAGTTGTGTCAAGCCATGCTGCTCACCAGGGGATTGGTGTGGGCTGCTCTGCTGAGTGGAGAAAAAGAAACTAAAATATTGACTGACCACATCACAGACCAATCCTCATCAATGAAACAAGGTGTGGTTATAATTTTCATTATAGTATCATAACGTGTCAAGTAAAATATTAATGAGCTTGACTTGTATTTTTGAGCTGATATTATGACATAAAGATCAATATCCTAGGCATTAGTGATTTGAAATGGACTGGTACAAAAACGGCAAGGAGGCCACATGTTCTGACCTCCTCTAATCCCACAAGAGGAAGACAGGATTACCAGCAGTAACCCAAGGCCTATTACTGCAAGGCCAGACATGCTGCCTCCCTCCAGCCCTTTCTCCAACCGTTCCTCCCAAAGCACCCATCACCTCTCTCCTGGGTTCAATAATTCACTGCAGTGGCCACACAGAACTCACGGATTATGGGGTTTATTAGGGAAGCACTAGGCTACAACTCAAGTTCAGGAAGAACGCTCAGTCTCTCTCCCAGCCCACAGTCTCTCTCCCAGCCCACCGTCTCTCAGCCAACAGTCTCTCACAGTCTCTTTCCCAGCAGTGCTGGTCCCTCAGTGTCTCACTCAGCAATGCGTGTCTCTTGCGTCTCTTTCCCAGCAGAACGTGTCTCTTTTGGCAGCACGTCTTCCTCCACCAGCAGTCAGAGAGAGAGTTCTGCCTCTAGGAGACCTCCTTTTGAGCCCAGCAGAGTGGCCAAACTAGCCAATCATAGCATCAGAACTCTAAGCACCTGAGAGAGAGTGGGCACCTCCCAGAACATTGTTTTGTGCCACGCCCAACAGAAATACTCCAGGTGGACAACTTCAGCAATCAGGAGCTCCTCAGTTGCTCATAGAAAATCCCACCTTGGAGTTTACAAAGACTTATGGGTAGAAAAGCCACACTAAGTAATTTACTACACCGCAACTGGTTTTGGCCATTTTGAATCAGATAAGCATACGATCTACTATGCCAGGAATGACAAACTGAAGAGAAATGGTGTGGCATTTATCACCACAAAGAGTGTTTCAAGCTCTATCCTGAGATACAATGCTGTCAGGGATAGGATAATATCCATAAGCCTACAAGGAAGACCAGTTAATACTACTATTTATTATTCAAATTCACTCATTAACCATCAAAGCCAAAGATGAGGAAATGAAAGATTTTTACCAACTTCTGCAGTCTGAAATTGACAAAACATGCAATCAAGATATGTTGATTACTACTGGGAATTGGAATGCAAAAGTTGGAAACAAAGGAGAATCACCAATTACTGGTTACTGGGAAAATATGGCCTTAGTGATAGAAATGATGCTGGCGATAGCATGATAGAATTTTGCAAGACCAATGACTTATTCATTGCAAATACCTTTTTTCAACAACATAAATG